TCCCACCCTCCTGTGATTATCACCCATAGATGCACATCTGGGTGACAAGGACGGTTTTTATCTTGCATTTGTCACAGCCTCAGTCAGAGATAAGTCAGACATCTCTAACCCCGTTTGCTTGTTTCACTTGGAAATGCAACACATCTCACATGTGGGGCCCCACTTGGCCCCAGGATCAGGCCTGTGAGATACAGAATTGGAGTGGGTTTTTTCTGTAGGGGCCATCTCTGCCTGTTTGTGCATCCTGGCATGGTCAAGAGGTCACTGTGGGCTCTCTGGCTCCTGTGTGCTATGTGTGTGGCGCATGGATTGCAGCATGTCACAGGCAGACCAGGCCATGCTGGGAATGGGCAGGGTAATTTGGGTGGAGTGGAAGGAGCTAGATGGGCCCACTTGGCCCTGAGATGATGTTGCAGTGCTGGGTGTCTGCTGGTCTCTGTAGTGGCTTGTTGAGGCAGGGCTGGTCCCACTCAGTCCCTCATCCATAGTGCCTGACATGTAACTGCCTTCCGTGTCCACGGAGACAATGACCAGCGTTCAGCCCGGAGGGATGGGAGTGAGAGCACCTGCCCAGTCTATCACCGCTTGGCCCACTCCTGGGCCTCCTGGAGAAGGTTGCCTGGGCAGTGAGCTTGCCCCCCGTGTGGCTAGGCTCATTGAAAAGCCAGCTGGCAGTGGGGTCTTTTGTGCAGAGGCAGGGTGGAGAGGAATGCGAATGGATGTGTGTCCATCCTCCCCATCCTGGCTGTGCCAGGCTGACTGAGACCCTCACTTACGGTACTTGTGTCTTCAAACAGAAGAAATCGGGGTGAAAAACTATTTTTAACAGCAGTTTTGTAAATAGAGCCCGACTGAGCATGTGGTCCTGAAAATTGAGACCGGGAAACCAGATTCTAAAGGTCTTTCCATCTGCGTCTTACTTTCCCATCAGAGTCGACCTTCCGTGCCCCAGAGGCTGGTGGGGGAACCCTGTGTGTGGCCCCTGCCACTGTGCTGTCAGCCAAGGCTTTGATCCCGACTGCAACAAGACCAATGGCCAGTGTCACTGCAAGGTGAGGCCTGTGGGTCCCACCTGTCTGCTCAGGCATGACCCTGGGAATCCAGCCATGCACATACATATTTACAGTCCTACGCGCAAACGTCTACACACACGTATGGATGCATTCATATATGTCTCATACACTTCAAGTACATACACATGTCCACCTGTACTTACATATACCCCTACATACACATACATGTTCATCTGTGTGCATTACTACCTGTACAAATTCACACACGCTCATGCATGCTCATGTACACGCATGCGTGTAAGTGCTGGGCTGCTTGCCCATGGTCTGTGAATACCCTAGAGCTATTTCTTATATAGAAACTGGTTCAGACGGTCCCACTGTGGGACCTGGAACCCATGAAGTCTTTCTTCTGCCTGATACCCAATGAGTAATAAATCTAGCCCTTTCTGTGCAGGTTACCCCATCTTGGACATCAGCCCTGGTTTTCTGAGTCGGCTTCTATCTGGGTCTGGCACTCAGCAATGACAGAAGTTTTAAGTCTTGAGGGTTGGGGATGTGGCTCAGAGATAGAGCTCATACTCAGCATGCCCAGGGTGTAGGTTTGATCCCCAGCACCTTCCCGGTGCCCCTACAAAATCAAATCTGACCACACCCTGTTGTGGTACCCAGACCTAACTTGCAGCCTGGGACGCCTGGTCTCATAACCTCTAACTATGCTCACAAGTGCAGTTGTGGAAGCCCCGCTCCCTAAACCTCAGGGACATTCAGACTTGCTCTTGGAAGACTGCCATTGAGATGCCCAGAACTGGAAACCAAATCACCAGGTCTGAGAGTAACGTCAGTCACTCTGCAAGGGACATGCTGTCAGGGTGATGACCCAGGAGGGAAATGATCACTCCGGCTTCCTGTGATGCTTCCCCAAGTCAGTGTTGCTCCAAGTGCTCCATGGCAGCCCCAGAGTAAAATGGTGTCTGGGAACATAGTAGGGCAGGTTGAAATGACTGTGGGTCAGGATTGGCCAGGCGTGGCAAGGCAGGGTGTGTAGCATCGAGGGCAGCTGGAGAATGGAACCAGCGTGTGTTATTTGGAACAAGACAGGCCTGTAGCTTTTTTCTCATCAAGAGTTTAAAAACATGGGCCAGAGAGATGGCTCAGGTTGGGGCGCTTACGTACAGGTCTGATAACCTGTCCAATGATCAATCCTTGGAGCCCACAAAGTAGCACAAAAGAACTAACTTCCAAGAGTCGCCGTCTGACCTCCACATGCACACCACGGCACGCCCAGGCCGGCAATCACACACATACATAAAATAAATAAAAATTTTTTAAGTTAGGGAGAATGTTTAGCTTGGTATGATAGTGTATACCAGAGTGCTGATTCAGGAGGCTGAGGCAGACGAATCACCAGCTCAGCGCAGGCCTGGGTTGTGAAGAAAGTCTGTGCTTGAAAGAAAAAAAACCTTTTTAAGAGTTTGTTTGGAGGCAGAGTACCTGCCGCACATATAGAAAGCTCTGGGCTCCGTATCTAGTACTGGGGGAAAGGAAGTGCAAGGAACAGTTTATTCCATTTCCGTATTTAGTCATTTATTTGTATTTACTTACTGTGTGTGAATGGATGTGGGTGTGTATTTGTGGGCCCACATGTCATTGCCTGTATATGGAGGTCAGAGGGCAACCTCGTGGGGTCAGTTGACTCCTCCTACCTTTCTGTGGGTCCTGGAGGTGGAACTCGGGTTCTCAGGTGACAAGTCAGGCTTGTGTGGCAAGCGCCTTTACCCGCTGAGCTGTCTTGCTGCCTCACTGGCTTTTTCAGGAGAATTACTACAAGCCCCCAGCCCAGGATGCCTGCCTGCCCTGCGATTGCTTCCCTCATGGCTCCCACAGCCGCGCCTGCGACATGGACAGTGGACAGTGCTCCTGCAAGCCTGGCGTCATCGGCCGTCAGTGCAACCGCTGCGATAACCCTTTTGCCGAGGTCACCTTACTTGGCTGTGAAGGTCTGTGTTGTCCCTTGACCCCTTTCTGGTCATGCTGTGGTATTAGTGCGTGCGTGCGTGCGTGCGTGCGTGCGTGCGTGCGTGTGTGTCCGTGTCTGTGCCCATATATCCCTGGGATTTGGAGAGCCCTGTGAGCCTTTATTCTGAGTTGTCTTGGCCTTCTAGAAACCTGGTCTTCATGAATCCCTGGACCAGAGTCTGTTCTGATGTGCATGGGGACAGGAAGTGGTCACTCTTGGTGGGGGGCCGCCTTCGGGTGGAAGGTGTGAGCACAGCGGTGCTGGACTGAGTGACTGTTCTTCTGTCCTCAGTGATCTACAATGGGTGTCCCAGAGCATTTGAGGCTGGCATCTGGTGGCCGCAGACCAAGTTTGGACAGCCAGCAGCAGTGCCATGCCCCAGGGGGTCCGTGGGTAAGTTCTGTATCTGGGAGCCTGCTCGGGATGGGAAATCAAATGACACAGGCTTTCTCTTGGGAACGTGACCTGGGCATATCAGAGTTCTTGGGTGGCCATGTTGAAGGAATATCGTCAGGGGAGAGGAGATAGCTTTTTCCTGGATAGCAAGTGGCAGAAAGAAGAAGGAACATGACAGGCGAAAATGGCTTGTGACGCTTAACACGAACCATCTCTCTGGTTCCCCATATGTTTGCTTCTTATTGGCGGGTATCTGTAGGGCCTGTCTTTAACTATCAGAGTGGCTTAGAGGTGGCCCCCAGCTTGGAGCATGGGAGCATGTGTTGGCCGTGTGGCCATGAACCTGCCTGGCATAGCCCCCCACCTTGATCCTCATATTGTTCAGTGAGGGGGTCGGCTAAGTACATTCAGGTTGGGGTGTTACTAGGTGTTGGTCCACAGTTGGAGCACGTTCTCACTCTCTAGGAAACGCGGTTCGGCATTGCAGCGGGGAGAAGGGCTGGTTGCCCCCAGAGCTCTTCAACTGTACCACCGCCTCCTTTGTGGACCTCAAGGCCATGGTAGGTCACCACCACCTCTAGGGTGTGTCAAGTGGGGGCTGCGTTTGGGTCAGGTAAGGCTCCTGTGACGCCATGAATCTGGAGGCAGGAGGATTGCTAGGGGCCAGCACTGGAAGTTAGAGACCAGTGTCAGGCCTGTCTCCCTGACTCAGGTGGGCCAAGCTGGTGTCTGGCTGGACATAAGTAAGCAGGCCTCCTGTCCCCACAGGACCTGGTTCTGGCTCCCTGGTTCTGGGTCCCTGTTTCTGCAGGTACAGAGTCATGGTCACTTAACTCAGAGCTTGCCTCCATCTGTGGTATTTCATTTGACGCTTCCCCACACTCGGGCCCAGCAGACCCTCCGTTTTCTTGTAGGGAATCTCTGCATGGCAGGAAGGACCAGAGCAACCAAAGACCATTTGCAAATCTTGCGATTCCTTTCCTATCGTAGAATGAGAAGCTAAGCCGCAATGAGACACGGATGGATGGCGACGGGTCCCTGCGGCTCGTGAAGGCACTGAGGAACGCCACGCAGCACAGTGACACATTCTTTGGCAACGATGTGCGCACAGCCTACCAGTTGCTGGCCCGTGTCCTGCAGCACGAGAGTCACCAGCAAGGCTTCGACCTGGCAGCAACTCGTGAGGCCAGCTTCCATGAGGTAAGAGGAGGGTGGCCCAGCCAGAGCCCTGTGTGGTGGGGAGCTGTGGGGTCAGGAGCTGGGGTTCACCTGGTGAAGCCGGGGTGATTGATCCTGTCAAGGCAGCTTTTTGTTTTAAATGCCAGGCCATCTCAGCTGGCCTACACCCAGCTACACTGGTACAGCGTTAGTGCTGTGGCCAGGCAAGGGCACATCACGGCCTGGACAACAGCATCATTGCCGATGGTTAGCGGTCCCTCAGTAGGCCAGTGTTCTAGGTGGTGTGTGTGTCTCAGCCTCCCCTCCCACGTTACCTACTCTGTGGTGCAGTTACCATTCACTTGACAGGTAAGGAAACTGAGGCACAGAGAGGGTATGCACAAGTGCATAGTTTGAGAGTGGTGGGGCCCAGGGACAGGCTCTGGAGCCTTCTTGACAGCCCCTCCTGCTCCAAGTCATTCATGCAATCCTTAGTGTGACTGTGTGGAGACTGGGAAGAGGCACTCATCAGACCTGATGCTTGCTTACTGCTCTGGGCTCATAAAGCTGCCCCATGGCCCCTTTCTGGAGCTCAGCCCACGTCTCCAGCCCCCACCCCATCCCCTATCCAGCCCTTGCATCTTCCCACACTGAGCACTCAGGAGTGGGCAAGGTTCCTCACTGTCACTTGGATCCAAGCCTGAGGTTGTGGCCTGTGGAGTTCATTCTCCATTTCTGATTCTTTGCAAACAAGTTTTTGCTCTTGGTTTCTGTCTTGAGGTGTGCCCCCACCCTGCCCTGTTACCCAGGTAAAACTCCACACCCAACACCAGAGTCCCTGATCGTAGGTCAGCAGGTACCTTATTACCCTCTACCCTACACTCCTGCTTCACCCTGGCCCGGCTTGGTCTTGCCCGAGTCACGGCTTTCTAGAAGCTGGTGTGCTCCATCTCATGACTAAGCCTGTGTGAGCAGAGGGCTGAGTACCGTCTGTCTGTGTCTGTCTGGACAGGATGTTGTCCACACGGGCAGTGCCCTCCTGGCCCCAGCCACCAGGGCCACGTGGGAGCAGATCCAGCGGAGCGAGGGTGGCGCTGCACAGCTGCTAAGGCACTTCGAGGCGTATTTCAACAATGTGGCACGCAACGTGAGGAGAACCTACCTGAGGCCTTTCGTCATCATCACTGCCAACATGAGTACGGGCTGGGAGGGCCGGGGCTGGGCACTTGAGGGCAGAACCTCAGGAACTTTGGGCATGTTACCTGGGAGCAGACCCCAGCAGTGAGGTGGGTGGGCACGGCCCCAGCTCGGCCACTCTGTGGAAACATCAGCCAGTAGCTGTGGCCTCTGTCTCCTTGTCTGTAAAAGTACTTGCCCATTGTTAGACCTTTAGAAAGATCCACAGTCACTCCTGTGGCTGCCCTGGGGTCTTTGGAGTCCAGCAGGCCTTTCTGACACCAGGTGTGAGATTACCCATGGTGCACCTTGCCTGGGGGCAGTGAGGTTCCTGTGCTTATCACAGATGAGGGTAGACATAGGCGAGAGATGTGGCAGGGGAGGTGGAGGACTCCCCACCCTGGCTAGTCTTTGGGCAGTCAGCACTGTCTACGTCTCATGGCCCATGTCACCCCAGGACATGCTGCTCTGGGGTAGAAGTTTAGCAGGCCTGATTCCTGCAGGCAGAGAAAGCCCCAGGTTGGTAAAACCAGTTCCCAACCTGTCCAGATAAAACTGGCAAGATGTCCCTGGGGATCCCCATCCACAGGCAACATGGCTGACAGTGACCCCTCATAGTTCTCTTCCCTCACGTCTGCAAGTGGCTTGGGGAGCACTATCCTAGCGGGGAGCCTTGAACAGGGCAGGGTGGTGTGGGGAGGCCCCGCACAGTGGTGGTGGCCGGCAACAACCAAGGGCTGGCCTGACTGAGCCCCATGTAATCAGGGACCACGGGCATCGAGGCGAGGTGGCGAGGGAGCGGATGGTAGAAGCCCTCGCTGCTACACTTGCTCAGAGCTCCATGGCTATCACTGCCCTTGGAATTGGCTGTGGGAAGTGGCGGGGCCTGTGAGCAGGGTGGGACTGTACCACTCACGGTCACAATGCACCTGGCCTTGCCCCTCGTATCCCTCCCTTACCGGAGGTATGCGAGACTGTGTTGCTGTCATCCTGCCTTGTGCCACACTCAGCTGTCCTACCGTGTGCCTTCCAGTGGGTTTAAAGGATGTGGAAGGACAGTAGGTTCTCTTCTGAAAACCGGCTAGTGTGGAACAACAGGCGTCATTTTGAAAGCATTGCGGGTTCAGGAACGCACTGGCTTTTGGGAGTGAGTAGAGGAACTGTCCCCAGTTCTTGCAGTTGACGTCTTCGACAAGTTTAACTTCACGGGTGCCCAGGTGCCACGGTTTGAGGGCATTCAGGAAGAGCTCCCCAGAGAGCTGGCGTCCTCTGTGTCCTTCCCATCTGACACCTTCAAACCAGCCGAGAAAAAAGGTGATGCTGCCTGGAAGCCCTTGTTGTGGGGGAGGGGGTGAGCCTCCAGAGGGGCCCTGAGGGGACTCTGAGTGAGCAGCGGGCCCAGCAGGCCTGTGTGACTGTTCAGGCATCTTAACTATAACCGTGAGAGTTCTCACTGATGCAGGACCAGGCTGGTACCAGCCCATTTCCCAGACTGTTTCATTTCAGGCAATTTGAACTTTCCATGTGCATGTGCTATACAGGTCTTACTCATGCCTATCCATAGAAGTGATTGGGTGTGTATGTGTATGAGAGCTTAAAAGCTTTATCTGGCCGGGCGTGGTGGCGCACACCTTTAATCCCAGCATTCGGGAGGCAGAAGCAGGGGGATCTCTGTGAGTTCAAGGCCAGCCTGGTCTACATAGTGAGTTCCAGGACAGCTGGGGCTACA